AAAACCTATTTGAAAAAATAACTTGGTGAAGGAAACAGACATACAAGTCCAGGAAGCACAGAGTCCCAAATAGGATGAACCCAAAGAGACCCGCACCAAAACACATTATAATCAAAATGCAAAAGGTTAAAGACAAAGATAGAATCTTAAAAGCAGCAATAGTAAAGCAGTTAGTTACCTACGAGGGAGCTCCCATAAAGACTGTCAGCCGATTTCTCAAAAGAAACTTTGCAGGCCAGAAGGGAGTGGCAAGAAATATTCAAAGTGACTAAAAGCAAGGACCCACAACCAAAACTACTCTATCCTGCAAAGCTATCATTTAGAATCAATGAACATATAGTTTCCCAGACACAAAAAAGCTAAAGGAGTTCATCACCACCAAACTAATATTATATGAAATGTTGAAGGGTCTTCTTAGAGGAGGAGGGGAGGGGGCGAAGGGGAAGAAGGAGGAGGAGGGGAGGGGGAGGGAGAGGAGGAGGAGATTGAAGGAGAAGAAGAAGAAGGAGGAGAAGGCAGAGAAGGAGAAGAGGGGGGAAGAAGAAGGAGGAGGAGGAGGAGAAAAATGAATAATAAATACATATCTATCAACAGTTGCATCTACAAACAAAATGTACAAGCAAAACAGAAACAGACTCATAGATACAGATAACTTTTTAGAAGGGAGGGTGGTTGAGGGTGAAAAAGGTGCGGGATTAAGAAGTACAAATTGGTTGTTAGACTGATGAACCTTACGGGGTAGGGATTGGGAAGAGATAAACCAAAGAATTTATATGCATATATTTATAACCAGTGGACACAGACAATAGTGTGTGGAAGGCAGAAGGGAGATGGGAGTGGGGAGGGGGAGGTCAATGGGGGGAAAAAGAGGAGATGTCTGTAATACTTTCAACAATAAAGATAAGTTTTTAAAAATTAAAAATAAAACTAACCAGAAAATAACCCTGGACCCTTTACACAGACATTTTGATGAATCAACTTATTGAAGAACACACCTGAAAAGCTAATAAATATTCCCTAAGACCTCCCCTAGGATCCCAGCCAGCCAAAGAGAGATAAAAAAAAAAAAAGCCCCAAGACAAAGGAGTCATGGGGCACTCTCCCAAGAGCATGTCCATGCCTTGTATCTTTGCTGCTTTTCTCCTAAATGCTAGGGACCCACAAGACTTGCATCCAGAAGAGCAATGGGCATCAGCAGCTCAACCTGGGCTAACTCCTTAAACCTGTCTCCAAGGTCCCCTTTTCTCTGACTTTTCCTCTCCTGTTGCTTCTCCTACCTTAAGCCCTTAAGCAGCCCCTTTGTTTCATTGTCCCTAGCTTTAATAAACATACTCTCTAAAGTCACCTGGACTTGCTTGTGAAATCTTTCCTACATGAAATCAGAACCCACACTACCAGTGGGCCCATAGTCAGACCTGCCCCGGGCCTAGACCCTATCTGGTAACAGTTCCATATTTTAAAACACAGAACTCTGTTTTGATTTCTTAGAACAGATAGCATGCATCTAACAAGCAAAAAGGTGGATACCTTTTTGTTAAGACTTGGATTACAAGAATAAATATGTTTTATTTTTGATAGTGTGCATTAATAAGCCATGAGAAACAACCCTTGGATTCTCAAAATAAACTACATGGTAATTATACAAAATAAAAATGTGTATATACCACAAACATTGGTTTTCTATGGATTTATAGCAAAACAAATTTTAATTGGTTAGAAAACAAATTAGAATAGTTTCCATTTTTACTACTTCACAGAGAAGTCACAGAGGGAAATTATGTTCTGTAACACTGACATGGCATCAGCTACCATACAAAATGCCTTCCAACTCTAGTGTGCTAAATTATGCAGCACTATCAAGTAAATATTTAAAATCTATGATCATGGAAAACATTCTGCTGCTTTTCATACTCATGCACCAAAACAATAACACAGAAAGAGAAAACATTTCCTTTGGAATGATTCAGAAGTAATGATAAACTATAATTAGGTTATCTGCTATTCATAGGTGTTTGTAGTAAATAAACACATAATTGCATCCACTTATTAGGGATGTTATTAAGGAAGCTTTAAAAATATGCTAAATATTTGATACCCATATTTCTAAAGCAGTTTTAGTGATCAATTGGGTAAATGAATGTGGAAGAGAGTTTAAAGAATACATAATTTATGTAACAGAATTTAGGTTTTTAAAAGATTCTTGCAGCTGCAGTGCTTAGCAATATTCTCTCCTCTAAATGGGTCTTTGAATTTCCAATTCAGCCGATTGCCAACCACACAAGAGTTAAAATTGAGCAAGATGTTTATTTCAGTTCAACAAATTAGAGGCAAAGCACGCTGCCTAGGCACTACAGTCTGTTTCTGAAGCACAAATAGTTTTTTTAATATATTTTTATTGATTTTTTTTTTTTTTTTTTTTTTTTTAGATAGGAAGGAAGAGGGAGAGAGAGGTAGAAACACTGATGAGAGAGAAACATCGATTGGCTGCCTCCTACACACTCCATACTGAGGATCAAGACCACAACCTGGGCATGTGCCCTGACCTGGAATCAAACCAGGGACCAAAAAAAATGGTAAGAGTTACTGAGATAATAGAATCAAGAGGAGATAGGAGAAAGAGAAGGAATCAAAGGAGATTCCCAGGTTTCTGTTTTTCAACTTTCCACGTGTTAAGTTAGGAAAGCTTTGGAGTCGTCAGATAGCTATGCCCAGGAGGCAATTAGATTTGGAGCTTGAAAGGAAGATTTGAGGTGAGCCATTTAGCATAGAGAGTCACCAGCCAGATGACAGTTGAAACCATGGGCATGGATAAGATTGTCAACTAGGTGGATGGGAATCTGAGCTAGTAACCAGCTAGCCAACATGTGACAGAGAAAAGGTAAGGTGAAGAATGATATATGCAAATATCATGAAATCCTTTAAGGAACAGTATTTTAAAACTACATCAAAGGACTACTGAATTATATAGCACTAAATAATGAGGAGAGAGCTGAACTCATCTGTGGACTGTGGATGTGGTGTTCATTAATAAATGAGACCAAAAAGACAACAAAAGCATAAATTCAAGGAGGTTGCATGGGGACAGAATCTTCAGAGAAGAGTCAGCATTCCTTAAGACCAAGAAGTGAAGCAAGCATTCTGTGAGAATTCGGATGTAGCAAACAAGGACATCAGAGAAGGAATGGAAATACTGAAGAGAGAAAAGTAGTGGGAGACTGAGTCATGGGAAAAGAAGCACAGGTAAAAACACCAAAAAAGGTGGTGATGAAGGATGACGGGAATGTGAGATAGTATTCACTAGCCTCAAGGTTTCAAAACAGAAATCCTACGTAAATCTGGCTCACTCTAACCCGTGAGTGTAGCTTTCAGTCATCTTGACAGCAGAGACTGTAACTGACTTGCTCACAACACTCACACCTTCCTGTATAATGGAAGGCACCCTCCTCCTTCCTCCTCCTCAATGCCATGAGCTTCAGAGGAGGGATACTTTCCCAAGCCCTACAGAGCATAAAATAAGATTTGCCTGAAGTTTAGACTGTAAATCAAACATTGTGGCCCACTTTCTTGGGGTAGGCATGAACATGTGATGTAATTCAGGCAATAAGGTGTACAGGGAAATCTGCTGGGGCACTTCTGGGAAAAGTTTTCTCCTGAGTAAAAAACAGTACATGCTGCACAGCCATGGCGTAGCAGCGTTATTCACAACAGCTAAAAGGTGGAAGCAGCCTGTGTCATCAACAGATGAAGTGATAATCAAAATATGGTGTATGGACACAATGGATATTATTCAGCCTTTAAAAAATAAGATATTCTGTCACATGTTACAACATGGGTGAATCTTGAGGACATTATTCTAGTGAAATAAGTCAATCACCAAAAGACAAATACTATGATTCTACTTACATGAGGTACTAGAGTAGTCACATTCGCAGAGAAGACAGTAGAATAATGGTTGCCAGGGGCTGGGGGCAGGGGTGGGGGGTATGGGGAGTTATTATTTAATGGGTACAGAGCTTCAGTTTTGTTAGGTGAAATGAGTTCTGGAGATGGATGGTGGTAATTGTTGCACAACAATGTGAATATATTTAATGCTAATAAACTGTACAATTAAAATGGTTAAAATAACCCTGGCCAGTTTGGCTCAGCGGTTAGAGCGTCGGCCTGCAGACCGGAGAGTCCCGGGTTCAGTTCCCGCTAAGGGCATGTACCTTGGTTGCAGTTTGTCCCCAGCCCTGGTTGGGGTTGTGTGGGTGGCAACCACTCAATGTGTCTCTCTCACATCGATGTTTCTCTCTCTCTTCCTCCATCTCTCCCTCCCGCTCTATCTGGACATAAATGCAAAAATGTCTTCAAGTGAGGATAAAATAAATAAAATAGTTAAAATAGAAAATTTTATGTTATGTATCAAGAGGTTCGATTCCAGGTCAGGGCAAATGCCCAGGTTGTGGGCCCGATACCCAGTGGGGGGCATGTGGGAGGTGGCCAATCAATGTTCTTTCTCATCAATGTTTCTATCTCTCTCTCCCTCTTTTTCCTCTCTCAAAAATCAATAAAGAAAAAAAAAATGGAGAAAAAAGCAGTGCATGCCAAGCAAAACTATTCAATGGCAAAAGAATAGTCTTTTCAACATGCAAAAGACTAAAGTTGGATTCCTACCTCATACCATATCCAAAAAGTAACTAAATATGGGTCAAAGGTTTAAATATAAAAGTTAAAATGATAAAAGTTCGAAGAAACCATACAAGTCAAGCTCCATGACCAGGATTTGGCAATGGCTTCTCAGATATGATACCAAAAACATAAGCAAAAAAGAAAACAGATAAATTGGACTTCATCAAAATTAAAAACTTTCCTGCATCAAAGGACACAATGAAGAAAGTGAAAAAACAATCCACAGAATGGGAAAAAATATTTGTAAATTATATATCTGAAAAGGGTCTAGTATTCAGAATATATAAAGAACTATCAGTTTCCAGCGGTGATGACCTCCCCACAACAATATGCCTCTCACTAAGGATCTCCTTCATCCCTCTCCAGAAGAGAAGAGAAAACACAAGAAGCACCTGGTGCAGAGCCCCAAATCCTACTTCATGGATGTGAAATGCCCAGGGTGCTATAAAATCACCACCGTCTTTAGCCACGCACAAATGGTAGTTTTGTGTGTTGGTTGTTCCACTGTTCTCTGTCAGCCAACAGGAGGAAATGCAAGGCTTACAGAAGGATGTTCCTTCAGAAGGAAGCAGCACTAAACGCACCTCGAATCAAGATGAGTGGGGAACCATCCCAATAAACACATTTTGAATTTAAAAAAAAGACGAAGAACTTTCAGATCAATAACAAAAAGACAACAATCCAATTGAAAGATGCGCAAAGGACTTGAATAGACATTTCTCCAGAGGTTATATACAGCTGGTCAACAAGTATATGAGTAGATGCTTAACATCACTAATCATATTTTTATGATAAATAAAATATATTTTTAGGTTTAGACCTAGATTTTATACACTTTAAAGTAATATATAATGTTTAAAGTTGCAAAATGTTTCTCAGCCATTGTATTAGTTATGTATTTTGTATAACAAACTACCCATCTCTTTGTGGTTTAAAAACATTTATTATCGTACAGTTTTTGTGGGTTAGAAACCTGGGCATGACATAATTGTGTCCTCTGCTTCCTGGTCTCTGACAAGACTGCAGACACGGTGTTGGCCATGCTGTTTAAAGGCATGACTGGGGAAGAACGTGCTTTCAAGTTCAATCAGCGGTTGTCGGCACGTTCCAGTTCTTTGCGGTTGTTGGACTGAGGGCCTTAGTTCCTCGCTGGCCGTTGGCCACAGCCACTCTCCGTTCTTTGCCACATGGGCCTCTTCAACAATAGCAGCCTGTTTCATCAGAGCATGTGAGCCAAGAAAGCAATAGAGAAAGTCGGCTAGCAAGCAGGAAGTCATAGTCTTAAAACCCAATCATGAAATTAGCATCCCACTACCTTTGCTGCATTCCACTTATTAGAAACAATTCACTAAGTCTAGCTCCCACTCAAGGGGAGATGATTACACAAGGGCACACATGCAAGGAGGTGGGAATCACTGGAGGCCGTTTTAGAAATACCTACCTCAAAAACAAAAAAAGAAAGAAATACCTACCTCAGTCACCACATACAATAGCTGCAAATACCATGCTAATTCATGAGTACCTTTTGTTAATATTTTTTGTGTATATCTTTCCCTAAATACATACGTTTAACATGGTGTATACATATATAATATATTTTACAGCAAACATAACAAAATATTATAGCTTAATTATTTTGATTTGGTAATTTGCTTTGAACTTTTTCCAGTTGATAACTCTGCTTCTTTCATTGACGGCATTGTATACCATTAACATTTTTTATAACTTACTCAGTCATTCCCCTGTATAAACTAAGTTGTTTCCAAATTTTTTATTTAATAAATATTACTGTACTGCATCTTTTGTATGTATATTGTATCTATTTAGTGAACCTACTAAAACACTGAATTGTACACTTCAGAAGAGTGAATTTAATAATATGTAAATTATATCTCAATTTTAAAAAATGTGTGTAAAGGAACAGATTTGGTGATGGAGGATAAAATGCGTTCTCTTTGAATATACTAATATCTCAAGTTTTAGGTACCTCCAGGATATCCCAGTTAGATACTCCAAGCAGGCATTTGGAATTACTTCACTACAGTTCCGGAGATAGACCAAAAGTGATGAGTGTTTTGAAACCATGAGAAATGTGAGATCAGGCAGGGAAATTGAACAGTTAAACAGAATAGATCCTTAACATACATATCAAGCTCTCTGGGTATGGCATCTGCACACTCCTCCAGGCTGATCTCTCATCACTCTGTGTCTCGGATTTCCCTTTCAATACTGAATTCTATTTATTAAGTGTCCAACATGAGGTGGGGGGTGGGGATGAGTAAGCAGACATAGCCCCTGACTTCAGGAAGCCTGAGTCTAGAAAAGTGAACAAGCAATTATATTTTAGTGTGGTTGATGCTGTGACAAGGAGAGCACGCTGAGATACTTGTTCCCGCCTTTCTTCATTAGGCTGAGCTAAGTGCCTTTCAAGTGTGGTCTCAGAGCACCCTTTGCATATGTTAATTAACCTACCACATTCTTTATACTAAAATTGATCTATGTTTGCATTTTCATTCTAACTGTAACTTTCTCAAATTTGCCTTAGGATCTCTATAAGCCATAACAACAGTGATTACATATTATGAATTGAGTAGATTTTTAAAAAAATCTAATTATGATTAAGAATATAGACACTGCAGCCCTGGCCAGTTTGGCTCAGCAGTTAGAGCGTCAGCCCGCGGACCAGAGAGTCTTGGGTTCGGTTCCCCCTAAGGGCACGTACCTCGGTTGCAGTTAGTCCCCTGCCCCGGTTGGGGTTGTGCGGGTGGCAACCAGTTGATGTGTCTCGCTCACATAGTTGTTTCTCTCTCTCTCTTCCTCCCTCTCTCCGTCTCCCTCTATCTGAAGATAAATGCAAAAATATCCTCGGGTGAGGATAAAAAAAAAGAATATAGACACTGCAGTCAAATTACTTGAGTTTGAATCCAAGTTCAAATATTTAATTAGCTGCTTGACTTTGGGGCAAAATATCTAATGGGCCACTGGACATATATTGTGTGCTCTTGTTATGTCATCATCATTCCTAGTGTAATAGCCAATTTGGCTAAATTTCAAAGAACAACTCCTAAACATGGTTATCTGTGTTTCAAAATATCTTCTTTCATACAAAGTATAGAAAGTAAATTGGTCAGATTAAATTTACCCTGAAAGTTGATCACAGTACTGCTTTGGAAATATATTTGGCATGGAAACCAACTGAACAAAACATATTTCAATAATCTGCCAGTAGATGGCTCTCTTAATTTGCTATTTTATCTTCAGTTCAGCTTTGTGCTTTTAAGCATTGGGTCACACGATCAAAAAAAACAAAACAAAGAAAGGGTAGAAATGTCACTCCAAGACTTATCTAATTCATTCATCTATCTTCTGGTAGGATTTACAATCAACAGTTGTAAATTAATTTGCAGAGGTACCTCTGCAGTGGATAGTTAAGGTGGGGGACAGTGATGTTTTGTTTGTTTAATTAATAAAACATAAGGGAACACTTTTGGAAATGTTATTGGAGCCTAGAATTTTGATGATGTTTATCTGTTATGATAGGTGGATGAACATAATTTATTTCTTAAATTTTCCTTGGAAAATTAACTTCCAATTTTTCTTTCTGTCTCGTTTCTTTATTATAACTTTAGACCTGTCTAATTCTTTCTTTGTTTTTTCTCTGCATTACAAAGCTAAGTAATGATTTATAAAAGCCTATCTTTGCCCTGGTTGGTTTAGCTCAGCGGTTAGAACATCGGCCTGTGGACCAGAGAGTCCTGGGTTTGGTTCCCACTAAGGGTATGTACCTTGGTTGCAGTTTGTCCCCAGCCCTGGTTGGGGTTATGTGGGTGGTGGCCAGTTGATGTGTCTCTTTCACATCGATGTTTCTCTCTCTCTCTTCTTCCCCTCACCCTCCCGCTCTATCTGAAGATAAATGCAAAAATGTCCTTGGGTGAGGATAAAAAAAAGAAAGCCTATCTTTTGTTTAATGCAGCAATTAGTTGTTCAAGACCTTTGTATTCCCACACCATTTTACCTTTATTTTATCATGCTATGATGTTTTTATTTATTTATTTATTTATTAGCTTTACTCTTAGTTCCTCAAATGCTTTGAGGATAAAGCTCTACTTTATAATCCAAGATATATGCTATTTACAGATATATCCAGATATTCTCTAAACTTTATAACCTGTAGAGTTTACAGCCCTATCACTGTTTCTGCAAAGTTCCAGAATTATTTCCTCAGATGATGTCTCTAAACTCCTAAACATGCCTGTGCTCCACAGTTCCATTCCGTGCGTGCGAGGCCAGCCCGGAGGGGAGGGACGCCAGTCTTCACTGTTTTCACAGAAAACCTACTTGTGCTCAAGCACTTGATGAAGATCTGCAGAGTCCTAGGAGAGTCCACAGGGCCGGATGATGGGTCTTTCTTAATTGAAACATTCTTGTGATTTTACTTTATATTTACCTGTTTCTATTTCTTTCCTATCTATCCAGGATAAAAATAAATAAATAAAACTCAACCATTTTCTTCAGATCTGCCAAGAGTCAGACTTTCTCAAGTTCCCCAGACTCCTCAACTGATCCCATGTCTAGCTCCAAAGCTGGGATGACCTTTCAGATATGTTTTGAATCAAGGCAAGAGCTTAGGTCTTGGTGTCCTTAATTGATCAGTCTTTGGATGCAAGCTGCTCCCAAGGAGGAGGCATAAACTTGAGGGAGTGCCTCCTGTTGTCTAAGGGCAATTCCCAGACGGAGACGGAGATCTTGAGATCTGGCAGCATTTATATCCCTGGATCCTACGGTCCCTGAAACCAGCCTAACTTCTAACCTTTCTGTAATTTGGTCATGTGCTCCACAAAAGGAGGGGTCCCAAGTGCCAGGCACATGATCGACGCTCCAAAAATAATTGTTGAGATAGAGATTTCATTTGGGGCAAAAATGGAGTTACAGGGGACACATTTACCCTGCCTTCTGAAACAGTTAGAAAAGCAGACAAATTATGTGAAGAAAATGGTTTTTAGACATTGGACATCAGACAGAACAGAACGATGTGATTCCTGAGAGAAAAAAAAAACAAACTGAGTAAGTCCTATTATTACTCCATTTTACTGTCTGGAGAGTTTCCATACTGTATTGCAAAGCAGGGAACCAGGAAGAGCCTCATGATCTCTCTGAATTGAGAAGATGGAGCGGGAGGTGGGGGTGGGGTCCTGGGAGGAAAAGCAGCTAGAGTTCTCAGGGCAATGTCAGAGAGGAGACTGCTGCACATAGAGAGTGCTCTGGAGATCACAGAGGGTCCTCGTTATTATTTAGCTGAGTACTGATCAGAGTATGTAAAAGAGTAACTATCTGAGGTGAGAACTGTAAAAAAAAACAAGCATATCTTTGAGCATATCTATGTTCCAACCTGGGAAATAAACACGTTTTTATAGTTTCAAAAAAACAAAAGCTCTAATCACTTTTTAAAATTCTTGAATGAATGTGAGTCAATAAATTCTCCCTTTTTTCTTAAGCTAGTTCTGGTTGGGTTTATGTTGCTTGCAACCAAAGAATTTTAACTGCCCTCGTCAAGTAGCTCAGTTGGTTAAAGTATTGTCCTGATACACCAAGGTTGAAGGATTGGTCCCTGGTTAGGGCACATATAAGAATCAAGT